CGTGATTCTGATATAAATTGTCTGATATATATATATATATATATACTTACATAGTTTCCTACTTTCATTTGACCGGCCTAAAAAAAATATTAAATTTACAATATAATTGGACAAGAGTAAGATATTAACTTCTTTGGATATTATGATTATTGACAACTATGGCAAATTAGACAGAGATGTTAATGGAAACCAGCATATGCCGGTTTTGCTCTTAATTTTCATTCCAATCATAGTTGAAAACAACTTAGGTTGGAATTTTATATCCGTGATTATTAAGAGTATAGGGTTTTCGGGTAAAAATCACCTGACAAATCATCTAAGAAGTGAAACATTTATTCAGGAAAAAAATTATCATTTAGCCTTGATCTCATTAGTAAGGAAGTAATATTCAGACGGAGACTATTTACTCAGAGATTGGTTAGCAGAGACCCTTTCTCATATCCTAATCCTGCTATCATGTCTTCTTTCTAAGAAGATAGGCAAGCTAGTGAGGAAAAGAGGGTGAGCCGAGGACTTTTTTACATAATACAACACTTTTCCTTACACGGCAATCCTCTTTCAGTTTCCGGTAGGACCACATCACAAATTCCTTCCAACCAATCCTCCCATCGAAATGGAAAGTTATGTAACAATCTAAAAGGAATTCTTCGAAATCCAGTTTTCCTTCATATGGTTTGATACAGTTTTCACAGCTTTGTGGTTTTTGCAGAAAGACTTGGACCGAAGTAGCCCGTACTGCGCTTCTCGACACTTATTTCCTCTATTCCTCCAGCGTCGAATCGTTACATCGGTATGGTAGGAAAGGCTTCGGTCGCATAATCATTAAGACGTATTTCTCCTATCCTTCGTAACGTGTGAAATCCTATCCCATACCGTTGGATCCTCATACTTCGTGCCCGTTTCATATAAAGACTGTAGTGTCCATAGATCTCGCTGTTAGGTCAAACTAAAGGAAGTAGCTGACCACAGGCAAATCCACGGCCAGATATAATGAATTATTATATGTAGTATAAAAGAGGACTTCTGACAATGTGAGTTAAATCAGATCTTCCAAACAAAACGACTAAGTTGGGAAGACAAAACCCCTTTTGATAGACTTATTTGATTGATAGGTCTAAGGATATAGGTGATTTTTGGTCGGCTTGGGGATGGACATTACTAAATTTCATTTGTAGTACAAATAGGTAAGCTCATCGACCTAATCAGGAATACTTTCAAAATATTGAAATCGTAGACATACGTTTCCTTAGATTACTCGATCAAAATTACTTATTTGTGAGTAGCTGATTAAGATATTCTACGCACCGCCAACTAAAAAGGGATACTAAGTAGCGTGAAAGGAAACTAGCAAAGCTGATTTGTTGTTCTTAGTATAAACGGCATAAAGGTATGACCCGGTTTCTCATTTTTTTTAGTAAGCTTAAGGCTCTTGTGGGAATAAAATGCAGCAGCGACGATATCTAGTGGATAAGAATCAAAGGTTCCGCTTTATTCACTGAGGGGAAAATATGCTTGATAGGCTCGCTAGTCTGAGATTAATCGAAACCTAGTTACACGTTCAAGTAAATTAAATTTATATATCACGTATTTGATAATCTTAAGAAAACTAGATAAACAGATTTGAGCAGCACTTTAATGCCTGGAATTATTTAAAGATTATCTTACACGAACTTTAGAATCCAGGGCAAAATCGTAAGGCAAACGCTGGAAAGCCAAGTAGCGTTCGACCATCTCAGTTAGCCGACGATGCTTCCAAAAGTTAACCAACATAGTCCCTCTGCCTGAATCCACAGTATCTGGATGGCGCAACTCAAAATGGATCAGCCTATTTGTGAGCCCAATCGCGATAAACGGAACGCATGGGCGGGCAGGCATCTCACCAACGCCAGGGCCCAGCTGATGTATCTGCTGGTGTTGATGATGACTTTGGTTGTTGTTGTTAATAGTGCTGTTGCTATTAGGGTAGTGATGATGATGCTTTTCGAATTGGGCGCGAGTGCGTCTCTCAAACACCTTACCACTTCCCAAGGATCCAGAGCATGCTGGTGAGGTCCCGATTCCAGCAACACCAATTCCGCAACTACTAGAAGCCGGAATAGCAAGTAAATGACAGTGGTCGGTAGTGCTGGTAGCCAGAGAGCAAAAGCTAGGCTTATCTGCAGATACGTTAGCCTCAGTTCCGGAATTCGAACTAAGAGATGTAGTCAAGACGGCAGGAGATGAACATGAAGGCAAGGGAGAGAGTTGAATACCGGTCCCTGTGAGAATGGTATTGGGCCCTGGAACTGAGCCAGTTAATGGTGAGATACCAAAGGGCAGAGAAGACATGGAGATACAACCAAAGCTACAAGAAGAATTAACTGCTGAGCAATGGCCAGGCAATATTGTAGACGAGGTCGGTCCAGACGATGAATGTGAGGTCCCACGTGATCGAGACGTGCCTACATTGCTGCAGCCTGACCCAGGCATGCAGACAGTGGTTCCGATTCCACCACCAACAGCAGTGCTTCCACCATGGCCTCCACTTATGTTTGAGGACATTGTGTCCTCGCGGCGAAGGCTGTCAACAATGGAGCGGTAATGGCGAGACCGACGGATCGTCTGAGATGAAGAGTGTAAAACCGTACGCACAACACAGCAAATTAAAAGTTACATTAAAATAAAAGAATAGACTTATGCATCATAGTACATATCATAAGATTTGAAGAGAATGAGGATAATTTTTAAGAATGGGCGGAAATTTA